ATTTATGGATGTATTAGACTTGTTGTGTTTTTCACATACTGTTCCAGATAAATTATTTCTGTGTACTGTGTGTTAGTGGAGAGGGTAGGAAAGACTAGTTATTCATTTCATAGTCTGAATATAACATGAATATCTCACAACTCTTTAATAAATTTTTAAATTACTGTTAAACACTGTTGGTTTTTTTTAAGAATAAAATTGGATACCTAGCTCTTTTAGTCTTACTTGATTATGTGAGATTATCTTTGTTTATAAGACGTCCTTTGCTCAGCTCATAGCTTTGAGCTTTTTTTTTTGATTTTGTAAGCATGTTCACCTGAGTGCCCTATTCACTGGAGGTTATTTCACTTTGTGCACGTGACCCTTCTTGCTTTCTTGTCCAAAAGCATGAGGCGTTCCTTCTCTTTCTCACTGAAAAACTCTTTGGGAGTCCTCATGGCCATTCCCTCTGGAGCTGCTGTGTCTGGGTGGTAGCTGCAGGATCACCTCCAGGTTAAGTGTGTATTATGATAATAAGGGAAAAACAAAGAGCCGATTTTTGACTATTGCTAAGCAGACCTATTTGTTTTATATAGGTCATTGATAAGCAAATTGCTTGCAGGTGATATTTCTGCCATTGATGCTGTAGATGTCAGGCCATCGTGGCTTTTCTGTGACAAAAGCAGTGGGTGTTTCCTGGGAAGCTCGGGCTGAGATCCACCCAGAAGGGACAAAAGGAGGAAGGCAGCTCTTCTGATACCAGCAGCAGCGTACAATGAGCCTTGATGGCTGTCTGCATTTCCCTTCTTTAGCATATACTGACATTTGGAGAAGCACCAACCTGGGGTACTTTTGGCAGAGATAAAAGACTTTTTCTAAGAGGAAAGTGTTACTTGAAGGAAGTCTTCAGCAATAGCAGCTTTGCTCCTTTCACCTCTAAAGGCATGTACCCCACCTCTGCTTTTTTCACCCTTTTTTTCATTTTTCTTCTGTTTATGCTTCATGGGAGGAACTTTAGGTCTTTAAAGGAGTACTGAAGGAGTGCTTGTACCTGCAGAACACTGCAATGATCTTGACTATTATCAGGAGTACTAAAGCAGGTTCTTCAGTTCACTTTGTTCAAAGTGGGTAGAAATTATAAATTAATGGTATAAGCTATTTTTGAAAAATCTGTGTTAAACAGTCAATTCTCAGCTAGTAATGATATATATCCTTTGAAGCTGCAACCGACCTTCAACAAACAATCTTTTTCAGATGTAAAACGGCTTTTCAGGCATTGCCAGTATTTCAAGCTGAATCTTAACCATGTAGTTCATAGGAGGGAAAACCACTCTACTTTCTTTAACATTAAACACGGATGGAGTGGAAATGAATTATGTTTATTCCACTTGTTAAAAGAAAACTTGGAGCCTGTTCCAGCTTGAGATCACATGCTTTCTGGGAATATATAGGTCTTATAACAAATCTTGGAATGCAAATAACAGGCACATGGCTCTCCTCTGGGTGGGAGTACAATTTATTTCAGAAAAATGTGGGCCCTTAGAATGTCTAGCTGTGCTGATGCTTATAAGTTGTGATGAGGTAAGAGTACTTGGTTCACGTGACTTTACCTTTTTTTAATTATGTCTTTGGGCTTTCAGCCAACGGTGAATAACCAGAACAAGTACCCATTTGCAGTTTGAAGATACTTGTTTCCTGGTAAACTAAAAGCACAGGCACACATTTTCTTTTTAGCAAGCCAAAACGTGCGTTTAGCACACGCACATTTTCAGTTTATTAAAAATACCCTTCAGAAAGCAGTCAGCAGAAATAACCTCAGTAATTGTTGTGTTGCTCCTCTTATCTCACATGTAAATGTTAAAAAGATTGTATCTAGAGAATAGATCACATCTGGTCATAGTCAGAATTTGATCACCTGCAGTTATTGTATTGAAATTAAATCATTTTTCATTTTAATAAAGGCAAGATAAAATGAGAGTGTCAAATAATTGTTATACGCTCGTTAGGCAAATCCAGTATTATCTGCCACAGACTAAATTAATTTACCTTTTTTTTCCCATCCGTAGATCCAAAACAAAATTACATCATATTAAATGTTACAGCAACAAAAAAATGATTCAATTACCCATCTAAACTATCTTCCAAAAGTTATTCTGCAGAAGGAAGTGTTACATGTGTTTAAAATGTCATTACAAACCATGAAGGAAATTGAAAATGGAGGTTGGCCACATCATGGAATAATCATTTTATTTGTCATAGCTGTCAACCTCCACTTGGTAAAAGTGCTAAGACAGGGCAGCAGGATCAGAAGGATCAGCTTCAGCAGAGCTGTTTGAAGAAACCTTGCCTTCTGCCTGCTTGGTTTAGCGTTCTTCTCATTCACGACATTTTTATTAATTAAAAAAAAAAAAGAAATCTTTACAAATTGTGTTGGGTTCCCTTTTCAGCCTATCTTTTAATGTTCTACTCCTGAAGCCCTTCAATTTGATGTTTTCCTTTGACCTCAGCATGCACTGGAGCAGATCCTAAATGTGTCTCAAAAGGGTTGGCTGCCTTTGTGTCAGAAGGCCAAATAGACAACTCAAATTTTAAGTGACATTTGTGTATTTGCCGTTTAAAATACTCTGATTTTTTTTTAAAAAAAGAGCACTTGTGCCCCTGGAGGGTGTGTGAGCAGCGGCAGCACGAGCAATGCAGCAGGCAACCATTGTGAGATGCTGGGGAGCCACGGCTGGGTGGACAGTCTGGGGTGTTGCTGTGTGCTGATCCCTCACCTGACCCTTGCCACTCACTGAGCTCTTCCTTTCAAAAGAAATAACCCTGTCATCTGGTGTGTTCGCAGAGAGGAAAATCCTTTCTTTTTAACCCATTCTGCTCAAACAGACATTCTTCAAAATCAGGTTTGGGCTGTACCTTGATAAAAGCAATAACGGGAAGAGAGGGAAATGGCTGGAGAGGTGTCCTGCAAGTCTTACTTTTTTTTCCCTTTATACAATATCTTCATAAAAGTTTGCCAGTTTGGCATACAGTCTAAGCTCACCTAAACAGGTTTAACATGATCGACTTTCATTTAGTTACCGCTAATTTATTGTGTCAGTGTATCTCAGAGTAGTATCAGGCTTTTGGAAGCAATGTAAGAATACAATTACTCTGTCAATCTGAGCAAGCTAAGAACTGATCCATGAGCTAATTACTCACTTCGGGGCAGTGGGACCATAGGAACAGCACTGGCAATGTTTTCATCCTTCAGATGCACAGAGCTAATGACTGTTAGAGGGTGCAAATGTGTACAGCAGTGGGATTATGGGCTCTCTGTTTTAAGGGGAACAGAATTCAGTGTGAGACTTTGGCCTTATCACTGAGAGGCAGCTAATAAAAGATGTGGGCTCTCACTTCAGCTAATTTTATGCCTGACTGATTACTCATCATCACAGACGACACTAGTGGGTGAACTACAATGTTCTTGCAGGATTTTATAGAACTAAAAGGTTTCTATAGCGTAAAATTCTCTCATTATTAATGGTTAGCACATGTTATGGATTCCCGACTCCTTAAATTATACTGAATAGTTAACCTCTTACCTTGATAAATTGCAATTAACACACATATCCTGTACACCTTTGCTGTACAGACACAGACCATTCAGTTTAGGATCTCGGTTATGTGTGACAAATTCAATATCTCCCTTAAACAGGTGTATACTGAAACTGTTTACAGCCCTAAACCATCACCACCATTTTCTTTTTTGCCTGTGAATAACAATATTCAGGACTGGTGTATTTCACCAGGTTTCAGATATCATGACAAAACTGTTACACAGCTTCACTGAATTTTATTTCAGTGTTGAGCTATCTCTGCGTCTCAAATAATCCCACAGTGTTGAAAGCTAAAGCTGATTCCTCTAACGTGGGCTATGATACTTGCTGATGTTTCTCTGTTGAAGGTGTACCATTGAAGTCTTGCCTTCTCATTTATTCCAAATACAGTTAGAAGTGTGTGGGCCAGGTGTTGGCCCACATCACAAGCCAAGCTTTGAAGGACAGCACTATTTGGTCTCCATCAGGCACAGGCATTATCCATGTACTCTTGCATGCTTCTGTGGGCTATTCAGTTTCTTCCACCAAAACCGTATCATCCGTGAGGGATAATATCCATCGAAATGATTAAATCATTTATGTCCATACAGATCTATGTGTCATTTGCATGAATGAGAATGAAATGCTGGATACATGCATAACTGCATTATTTGAGGCAGGTACTGCTGAACATATACAAGTTAATCCTAGAAGACCTGAGCATTTCTGAGCCCATCAGCGCTGCTTCTCTATAAAGTTGTTTTGTGCCCAGCCACTAGCATTAACAACAGCACTGCCTGGGTCTATGCCTGGCATTGGAGAACTCCAGCTCTTCATGTAGAGTGCGCTTCCTTTTTTGAGTTAGCAAATAGTAGGGATAAAGCAGTTAGGGAATATTTGTCCAGAAAGTTTTATAGGGAATCTTTGGATGGAGAAGAAGTAATGATAGATCCAGTTCCATATAGTGAGTGCGTGAAAAGTCATTATGCTGAATGTCTTTGTATCACATTGATTCACTATGTTGTGATTCCTTTTTTCCTCAAGAGCATCTTGGAGTGCACTTTTTAATATGCCCTTTCATAGTTTCTAACACAGCAACAAAGCTTCAAACTACAATTTCTAATGCCTATAATACCCCACCTCTTCCTTTTAATCAGGAAAAATCCTTTGCCTTATTGTTGTCCAAAGTGCTATTTTATAGTAGTCATCACTAATCTTAAATTGAGACAGAGTATGACACTCAAAGGATGAAAGCAAGTTCATACAGCAAGCCCCACTACGAGAACCAACTGCCAATCAGTAAGAATGTCAGAGAATAACAGATTTATTCAGTGCTTTCAGTGACAAAGATGACATTGAGTAAAAAGAAATGTTAAACTAACAACAATGATTTTTGTACTTTAAATGATTTTTTCCTGATTTCTTTTCCCTTCTCCCTCTCCTTAGAGCTCCAGAACAGCTCGCTCGGAGGAAGACCGAGACTCACTGTGGGATGCCTGGGGCTCGTGGAGTGAATGTTCACGCACTTGTGGAGGGGGAGCTTCATATTCACTGAGACGCTGTCTGAGCAGCAAGTAAGTGGGTGAATGCTTTTCACTTTACTGATGGGAGAATTCAACATACTCCTCTGTGTCAGACCTTAAGAAGTAATCAGTAGAGGTCTTGAACTACACTGGAATTTCCAACTCAGTGTCAAAAAATTATGGTGATGTGTTTTTTAATTCAGGCAAGCAGCCAACATGTTTGATAAGGCACCCTTTTAAAATATAGTGAGAACCTATGGAGATATAAAAGTTGCCTGGATGGGTGCAAGGCTGCCAGCTACTGAAAAGTGAAACTGCCTTACACTTTCACCATTTAAGTGGTAAGACTTTTCACACACTTGTACCAGACTACAGCTAATTCACTAGGTTTAGCACCCAACGATCTCAGCCTCACTGAGACTATAAAAGCACCACATTCACTCAAGATGACATAGAATCATATAGAATAGTTTGGGTTGGAAGGGACCTCAAAGATCATCGAGTTCCACCCCCCTGCCATGGGCAGGGACACCTCCCACTAGAGCAGGTTGCTCAAAGCCCCATCCAGCCCGGCCTTGAACACTTCCAGGGATGGGGCGTCCATGACTTCCCTGGGCAACCTGTTCCAGTGTCTCACCACCCTCACAGGAAAGAATTTCTTTCTAGTATCTAATCTAAATCTCCCCTCTTCCAATTTAAAACCGTTGCCTCTTGTTCTTTCACTACACTTCCTGACAAAGAGTCCCTCTCCAGCTCTCCTGTAGGCTCCCTTCAGATATTGAAAGGCCACTATAAGGTCTCCCTGGAGCCTTCTCTTCTCCAGGCTGAACAATGCAAGCTCTTTCAGCCTGTAATCGTAGGGGCGGTGCTCCATCCCTCTGATCATCTCCATGGCCCTCTGCTGGACCCGTTCCAGCAGATCCATGTCCTTCCTGTGTTGAGGACTCCAGAGTTGAATGCAGTACTCCAGGTGGGGTCTCACGAGCGGGGAGTAGAGGGGTAGAATCACCTCCCATGACCTGCTGGCCACACTTCTCCTGATGCAGCCCAGGATGCAGTTGGCTTTCTGGGCTCCCAGAGCACACTGCCAGCTCATGTTAAGCTTCTCATCCACCAACACCCCCAAGTCCTTATCCTCAGGACTGCTTTCTAGCTATTCTCCGCCCAACCTGTATTTGTGCCTGGGATTGCCACATCCCAGGTGCAGGACCCTGCACTTGGCTTGGTTAAACTTCATGTGGTTTGCACAATCCCACCATCACATCCTGAGCTATATAAAAAAGAACGATAACTCTGCTGAGGCTATCTTATGAATTAAATTTCAGGTAGGAAATCTCCCATACCAGCAAAACCTCCTCAACAGACTGAAGCAGAATGGCCCATTGCAAAGATGAAGTCTTGGTACCCAGTCAGGCACCTGAGCTTTATTCCTCCCCAGTTACTAGCTTGCAATGGAACATGTACAAGTCATTTGACATTTCCTTTCTATAGTATATATAAGTTTACCTGCAAAATATTTCTAGAAAATACTATTTCTATCTACTTCAGGAAATAGTTTACCTGCAGTAAACATGGTATATGTGATAAATATTAACAGAGTTCTGAGAAAGGATATGAAGGAAAGCTCCAGATCCAAACATTGTGGCTTACTGCCATCTCTGATATCTTATATATCACAGTGTTAAAAGTGTAATATGATTTTCCATCCTGCATGTGTTTCCTTTGTTTTTTATATCATGTGCTTATAAAATTGATGTTAATAAAAAACTGTACAATACACGTCGAATTTTCCCACATCTGATATTTTAATACATTATACTGTTTAGTGAGGATAAGAAACAGCACAAGGCATTGAACCATAATATCAGAATACAGCATTGTATATTTTAGCTTTATCTATGGACAGTTTGTTTCTTAGTTCCAGCAATCATTTAGCTGACAGTGTGCAAAACTCTGCTGGAAGGATAAAAGGAAAGCAAAGGCATCTATGGAAATCAGTGGAAAACCTGTATTTTTCAGTTCCACCTCTATGTAAAAAAATTAGAATAATTTAGTTTTTTCCTCATCTCTTGTTAGTTCTGTAGGAAATATTCATTCTGCAAATACTCAAAATTGGAAATAGCAGAGACAGGAATTTATTTTCAATCACAGTGTATGCTTTACATTAGGAAAATAAGTGAACTTCTGTATGTTCCTTTAATATAGACATGAATCCAGGTATATCAGGAGATCTGGGGAATCTGAGTAATACCAGGACTTGCTGACTACAGCTGTGCTCCTTCAATGAGAACCTCCTCAGTAGTTTCTAGAGGGGAAAACCCTTGGAGCTCCATGTCAGTAGTAGTAATAGTGCTCTGTAGTATGTGAGGATCAACCACTCCTCTTGAGCAGGCTCTCCTCATCTGCTTCTCTTTGATCCTTGTACTATTCAGGATGTCCCTGAAGCTACCCCAGTGGAACAGGGAATAAACTCATAAATCTCACCATTCTTGTTTTTCTTAGAATACCTAGCCACTGTCCTGTCAGTACATAAACAATACTGCCTTCCTTAAAAAACTAACTGCAAACTTTAGCCCATTCAGATATGGAAGGCCCCTGTTTCCAGGATAGGATGCAGGAGTTTAAGTGCACAATTTTAATTAAGTGCACTTGCTTTTAATAGCAATAAATCGTGAATAGTAAAAGTTGACCTGGAATTAGCACAGCATCAAATGTGTGATAGGTTTTCCTTTGTCCTGCTGTGTGTGCAATTGCTAATTAAATAAAGGGTTTAAATGATTTCTTTTTGTGCTAGGCAAGGATTTTAAGTTGCTAAGAAAAAGGGATAGAGGGACCTGGGGAAAGAAACTCATCCAGAGCTTGAAGGTTTGGAAATAAGCCTGTGGACATGAGTATTTCAACCTGGCAAGGCTAGAACAAAATGTCAACCTCTCTGGGACAATTCTTGCTTGGTACAGTTTATCTCATGTATTTGCTGTGTATAATTTCATGGCAGCATGAAGGGAGATACTAGATACTTCTGGCAATAGAAAACTGGCAACACATTTAGATGTTTTGGAACAAATTAATCCTAAATATTTCTCATCCTGGGAGGAATGTTCATAATGCCTTATGTCTTTTAATTCTGTATGAGGTGACCTTCAGAGCATCAAATGAGAAGAGGCCGGCCAGTGGATCTGCTCTGAAGACATGCAAAGACTAATTGTCCATTCCTAAACACCATTAGTATATGCAGCTAAATAAAGGAACCCAGTTTTCCTTCCAGCTTTTGTTTGCCAAAGTTATGTTAGTGCTTGTGTTGTTTGTTTTGGGAACATGTTTTGTGTTAGGCCTTCGCAGCTGTGATGAAAGCATGGAAAGTGTTAGTGAGAAATTCTATTTTCTAGTGTTTTAGATGGCAAACATTTCAGGGTAGGGGCTGTTTAACAGCACATTTCATTAGAACAACTGGTCCTGATTATGCTAGGGTCATTTAGTATGATAGAGATATAAATAAATATGCCAATCACACAAAAACAGACAGGAGTTGTCAGCCCAATCAACCATGTGTCTGCTATCCCACGTTGACAGCGAGCAGCATCAGTTCAGTCTGCTGGCAGAATAAGACCCATTTGGCTAATTAGAAGCTAAAGACTGGGCTAAACGTCAAAGCACGATGCTTTTCTTGCTCTTTGTTGGCATCAACTCTTTATTACTTCAGATATTCTTGTTATTTACACCAAAGGACAAGGCTTCTTTAAATGTTAGGTTTTTGTGTCAAATTTTATTTGGATACAGAACTTGGGAATGAGAAACTCCTCACCTAGCTCATTTTTGTCATCAACTGTCAGGCAGCACTGCTGGTCAAAACCTGTAGAGTGGAGAACAACAGACCACTCCTGTTTTTCTTGAGGGCCAAACTAGCAACTGTTGTGCTTCCATGCAGAGCCAAGTTTTATTAGTTTTTGAATACTTTGTCTACAGGGTCACTGGAAATACATAGGCAGAGCAGGTGGACAGAAATCTTCCTTGAAATCTGGCTATTATTTGTTGCAGTTTGTCTATTGCACAGCAGAGCTGGAGTCTATCATCCAGTACAGTGATTGATACTGTTCATATACTTTCAGTCCAGGTATTAATAGTATGCATATTGATTCAAGCAAACTCAAACTGAGTAATAAATGGCTGAATGTTAATTAGATATCTGAAATTCATGAATTTCCCTTTATGGAATACATTTTCAAATTGCAAAAGAAATTATTTTAGCAGATAATAAGTAGTGGGTTTTTCAGTCTTCTTAGAAACCTGTTACTGTTGCTGCTGTCTCTGGCTCAAGCACGAAGCCGGAACAGTTTGTGTGAGTGTATAGCAGTGCTAAGCTTGTTATAGAGTGCCATAGGTACTGAATCTGGGTTAAGGGGTAAAAAATTGAGATCATCACTCTTAACTCTGGGAAATCATATGTAAACTGCTGAATAGAGTGGAGGTTTTCACACCATTAGACAAGGGATGTATGTTTAGTAACAGAAGAACGCCAACATTAACATCTTCCTGACAAGTTTCCCTCGGTAATAAAAGTGACAGAGATTTTTAAAAAATATTTAAAAAAAAGAAAACAAGAAAAGAGGAACACACATGACAGAGTTGCAATCCCAGTTTTGTTTAGGTGCTTCCTACTGGCTCTATTACTTGCTGGAATATATTTTTTCCCCTTTTCATATAACTTCCTACCTTTCTTCTGTTGATGGCTGCCTTTTGGTAACACAAGTGAACCACCAGTGTGAAATACCCTTTCCACCAGCTCTGCTGCTTAAACTAGCTGTGATTCACTAGTTTTGTTGTTCAGCCCTCTGCCACTGCATTCTGGATGATGAAAACAGTAGATCTACATGAGGGACTCTCAGTTTTATGACAGTTTGTCCCTATTGATCAGTAAAATAGCCACTGAGAGGTACCTTTAGAGGTTACATTTAATAAACTAAGTAAATTAGCTAAAATTTGGTCAATCTTATGCTGTGTGACATTTTTCATAAGACAGAAGAAGCCCCAAATAAATTTGATTTATTTCATTG